CGAATGTCGCCTAATTGCGCCAACTTCACTGGTCATTGGTCATAGAACAAAGGCCTCGCCGAATACCCAATTAGTAAGTCCCTTGGTGCTGAACTTTGTCTTCCCGCTGAACTGTCCGAAGCCCTCTTCGTCTTCGAACTTCCTCTGTGTCGAAATTCGAACTGTCACGAACCTTGCCGAATCCTTCAATAGTCGCCAATCTCCTTTGCCAAAATCTTCTTTATTTCCGCGCCGTCGAAATTTTTCTTCCCTGCCTTAGAACCTCTCTCTGATATCATTTGTTGAGAAATTATGACAAATAAAAATAAGAATAGACACAAATCTAGAATAACACAGAGAGATTTACGTGGTTTGACAAAGATGCCTACGTCATCGCGAGCAGAACGACAAATTCCTTTTCAATATTTAGAAAAAGAGTACAAAATACAAGATTCAAAATCTCACATAATGTTACAAACAAGACATATATAGAAACCTATTGTACAGTATGTAATTACTTAAATAAGCTCTGTACCAAACCACGGGGTGTTGTCCCAGCACCCCTAACCCACATAATGAAACTCTCTCGATTTGACAGATCCTGCCGCTCGTGGGCTCCGCTCTACATCTGTCCTATTTATGATATATGAGTCATACCTAACATTTCCAATTATGTATTTATATGTCTAACATCTAAATTTTTATTTTAACATACATAACATTAATATCACATAACCAATACTTTTATTATTAATTATCTTTTTAATGAAATGCAGCTTTTCATGCATAGATTTACTTGTCACCAAATTACTATAAATATAAAAATGAAACTTTAGGTGTTAAATTGTAATTATATAAAAAGTGTCTGGTATGGATGTAAATTTTCCATAAAATTAAGATGTATATTTATCTTACATCTAAATATTCATATTTACATGTACTAAACATGACATTAAAATTAAATACACAACTACTAATTTTTTTACATGTAATTACACATTTTCATGCATAATTTTATCAAATCAAAGTTTTATTAATATGATTATGAGAGTTGTGTAAATAAATAAGAATGTTTCATTTGTTGTTTTTATTAATTTAGTAAAAATTACTAATTAATTAATAAAAAAGCAAGTTAATTAAATTAATATTGTCTGTGATTTAATAGATTAAATAATTATTCACAAATTTTAATTAGATTTATGTGAATTCTTAGTCAATGATTAGTTATGTTAATAAAGATATATTTATTGATTAATTCATTTAAAAAAGAATTATAGTCTAAGTAATGAATATTATAGTATAAATTACTAATTAATATTTTTAGGGAAATTATAATTGAGGATTTATTATATTGGTGAATCTACTAATTAATAAGCAATTGCTTATTAGTTGATGAATAATTTTACTTGGTTAAAATATCATGTTATAAATAAATTGTACAAATTAATGAATAATGAAATAGTTATTAATGAGAAATTATTTATATAAAGTATGTATGCAAATTGATTAACTAAATTAAAATAAAATATATGAACATTGCTTGCTAAAAAAATTACCTTAAAATTTGTGTCATGCCTTGAAATCTATATCAAATGATAAATTTGTTGATACGTATAAAGAATAACTACAATTAACAGGATAAGAAGCCAAGAGACCTAACAACATAACTTCACAAAGACATGAAACCAGGAAATAGAAAACAATAGGGAAAGCCAAAAGGCAAACCTATCTACAAGCAACAACAATTTACAAACCAAGAAAAAGATCCATAATAAATTTAGTAGCAATAAGTTTCTAAAGAATGAATTGAGCAAACTATAACCTCAGAACTTGAAGCTTTAAAGATCTTAACATTGGTACATCCAAAAATAGTAGGAAATTTCTGATAGATGTAACTTCCATCAGAAGATTTGAGCAATGAACACAACCAATAGTGAGGAATCATCCACCAAAACCAAGCTAAACAGAAACATAAATCTAGTAACAAAAACAAAGTCATTATAACACTATTGTAAATGAAGAATCTTAATGAATCCCTAATATCAGTTGAAGTAACTATTCTTCCAATAAGAAGCATTAGAAGCACATATGTAGAATAGTAAAAGCTCATCATTGTCCTACAAAGATATGATCAATCAAGCTATGAAAAAAACAGAAGCAATCAACATCTCACAATCTTTCATTCCATATTTGTGGTTGAAAAAATAATGAAGTAAAATCTCCTCTACCAAAAAATGAAGATAATGATCACCCAAAAGTAGCATGTAAACAGAAGGCTAAAAAAAATAGAAATTAAAAAAGAGAAATAGTTAAAAAACACTTCCCACAAAAAAATAATGTAACTCCTTCCATAATAAAAATGATTATATCAATGCAAATCAAAATATTTTAAAAGAGAGATCTATACCGATTGAGTGCTATTCCCAAAGAGATTAGAGAACTCATATCAAATAACAAAGAAACACAAAGTTTTAATAAAAAAAACAAAGATATAAATCGATAATATTGTGTGAGTAACAAAAAAAACATAAAATTTAATATAGAAAGAAGCATCACTGAGGTTTAAATAGCAAATAATAGCAAGACCAATAATTAAAATTTATAGAAATTCCTTAAATGAAGTGGGATATAATATTTGAACTTTCATTTCTACTTTTTGTTTCCTTTAACCATGAAATGAATATTCTAAATAAAAACCTCAACAAGAGATTAATTTTTTCTACAAATACTTGAATTCCTTTTAAACCATATAGAAAATGGACAATAATTTGCATAGCCAAAAGGTGAAACTTCCTATATACAGAACGATATAACACTTAAAATATATTACTAGAAGCAACACTAACATATCCATTTGGAATACACTTTTTAAGTAAATAATGAGAGCAAAACAATTAGGGAATAAATGGTTCTGAGTTCTAGCCACATTAGAGCAAAGAACACATATAGAAATAATAGCAATGCCTTTAAGATTAAGAACATCATATGTTTTTGAGACCTTTATGAACAAATTTCCAAACATGAAAAACAAATTTAATAGTAAGACACTCAAAACATACCATCTGATACCAATCAACACAATGGGAAGACTCATATAAGAAGTAAACAGCTTTATATGATTATAATCATTTTGATTAATCCAAAGACAAACTATTACCATTGATAATACGATATTGTAAATGGTTTGAATACAATAATCACGAGCCATTGTATTCCGAGAAATAAAACACAAGCACAATTATGAATGATATTACATAGCTTAATATTTTTGGGAGAACCAAATTGGTTAAAAGCCAAGGATCACAATAGAAAAACAAGATGCTATTGTTGTTAACCAAAAAAAGCGAATTTTTTTTTTTGGGAAAAGTGTTTTGGGCCTTTATAAAGAAGAGAACTAGGCTGGGAAAGAAGAGGGAGAGACATGTGTGGGTTATATCAAAAATTAATTAATTATTATTAATTGAAATTTTTTTTAATTAATTACTCATTAAGAAAATTTACATACGTAGCACCCAATTCTTATGCATTTGCATATCCCACTTCAAAACTCAGATTCTCACAAATAAAACATCTTTCCTATGTATAAAAATGTGGATTTCACTATTGAAAAGTATGATAAGTAATAAATTAGGCGTTGTATTCATAAAAATTAAATTTTTAGTACAAGATACGTAAACTCATAACAACTGAGTTTTATGCATGTAAATTTCCCTATTTATTATTACTCAGTTAAAGTAATAAGATGAATTTAGGGTCTCTTTGGGGCAGCTGCAATTATTTGAAGAAGCAACTACAAAACTTATGAAGAGGAAATTGATATACCAAAACTACAGTGTCTATAGCAATAATTTTTTTTTAAAGTTTAATCGTAGTTTTTGGGCAGCTACCACAGATAATTAGATCTGATAGATAAATGCAACTTTCAATTACAACTTTTGGAGAAACGTTGACAAAACACAATTCCATTTTTTGAGAAAAAATTACCTTGCCCAAGAAAAAATGTTATATTAGTACTACGCACGTAGTGTAACGTGCGTAGCCAATAAAATCACGCCACGACAACCCATGCGACAGAAAAAAACGGTGCAGCAATATGAGGAATATTCCCCGTGTTGTTCATGTGTTATTGTGTGTTATTCATGTGTTATTGTGTCCCGATAATATTTCTGATGTTATAATAACACAATAACACATGAATAACACTGGAGGAATATTCTCCCGTGTTTCCGGGTCGTTTTTTCTTTGTCGGGAATATTCTCCATGTTATTCTGGTGTTATTGTGTATTATTCATGTGTTATTATGTCCTCAGAATATTCTTGGTGTTATAATAACACAATTACACATCAGTAACACAGGAAAAACACACAATAACACATGAATAATACGGGAGAGAATATTCCTTGTGTTACCGCGCTATTTTTTTTTCTATTATATAAAATATCGTGACGTGATTTTATTGATTACGCACGTTACTACACATCAGTAATACAAGAAAAACACACAATAACACATGAATAATACGGGAGGGAATATTCCTTGTGTTACCGCGTTGTTTTTTTTTCCTATTGTATAAGATATCGTGACGTGATTTTATTGATTACGCACGTTACTCTACGTGCCTAGTGATGTAATATTTTTTTTCTCCAAAGACCCTCTAAATAAAATAAAATCTTAAAACCTATCTACTCATCCCTTTTCTGCCCTAAACCCTCGCGCGCTTCACTACCCCTCTCCCGTTTCCTAGTTTTGCTCAAAGTTCTCCTTCGCGAGATAACTGGTAAGGCAACGACGGGATCGCGGTTTAGAGAGACAAGAAATTCCTATCTGTCTCCTCTTTCAGCTCTGTTACCACCGAAAGGTAACTTCTCATCTTCCCTTTCGCGCGGGATTTAGTAAATCCGTGGTTCAAGGTCGAAATCCATGAAATCCGGTTTTATCAGATCTGCGGCTTTATTTTGTCCAGAATGATTGTCTAGCTAGGTTAAATCCTGCTCTAAATCCGTTACCAGACTGGCCCTTACATCCGCCGCACAAATAATTTGCAGCTTAGGCAAGAATCCGGCGCTCTACAGATTCCCGCCGGAGAAAGTAGAACGAAAAGGCGATGGGAGCAGAGAATTACCAAATCGATTTGGGAAGCCTTATAGCCTGTGATCCAAGTCACCACTTCCAGCCCCTCCCCTCGTCCAGGTGCTTAGGCTTCCTGCTTTCTTCGTTGCATTTTGGGGAAAAAAAAAGAATGATTGTGGGCTTGATTGAGTTTGTTTTCTTCACCGATGTTTTTTAAATGATTTTGTTATTATGTGCAGGGAAGAACTGGAGAGGCAATGTTTGGAAAAGGGAACAGAGCTCGTTCAAGAGATTGTCAATGTTCTTTTCAGTTTACCAGCGAGTGAGGAACTAGATGGACCCATTGTTCAATTGCCCAAACCCACAACAAGGCTTCCCAGAGAGAAACATGTAAGGGGGCTCTTTTTTTTCTTAGTGATGAGTCCGTTGCGTCATGGGATTTCCTTTTATTTTGCAACAAGCAATTTTGTTGAATGAGTTTTTCAGCTATGGCATGCTGGTTCTTTTACTTTAGAATAGATGGTCTGTGTGTGTGTTTGTGTTGGATGTTAGGATTTAGAATGGAACCAAAGAGAAAAAGATGTTAGTTAGAAATCGTTTTTGCAGATTCATGAAAACGTTTGAATTTTCATCAGGGCATATGGTTAGTCTGTCACCATGATAATGTGACTGTTATTAGTTTGATTGAGTTTCCATAATGTTAACAAACAAGCTTTAATTCAATTATTTTAACTACATCTATGATGTCCCCAATTGCTTAAGGCTCTCTTTATATTTGCCTTTTTATTCTTCTTGTGATTCTTCATGTGAATATTTGCATTAGTAGGCTCATGATTCCATTTTGATTATTGTGGGTTGGTGATGCAAACCTATAATCTCCAACTTTTTATGTTTATTGCCCGAAAAAGGAGAAACAAAAGGCAAACCTTGTCATGGTTTGTGAATATGTAGAGTAATGAGTGCATAAATTCTTGATATCGTAGACTAAAGAAGATAATGTACATTCAATGTCTGTTTAAGGTAGCTGCAGCTCAATAATAAGTCCCTGCACAGTAGCTCAAAAGCTGCTGTCGATAAACTGACTAACTGTTTATTTTTTGCAATTTGAAAATAACTGTGTTGCAACTGTTTCTGTACAAATGACCATTTTGTCCCTAAATAGTAATGTTGTTTGGAACAGAACTGTTCATACAAGTATATTCTATACTTTAAAAATAAACATCCAGTGCAAAACATTACAAAATAAGGATAGTCACCTCACTTAACAGTGAGAAACATGACTATTATATTTAAAAAAAGTCTATTAAAATAATAATTAATACTATAATAATATTATTTTTAAAATGTAGATGATGTATGTCACAAGCTAGGTCATCCTCCTGGGATACTCTTCATGCCCGATCACTCTCGGCGGTGAAATCTTCCAACCTATCTGCCCATCGAAAATAATCGGTGAAATTTTCCAACCTATCTGCCCATCAAAAATAATCACAGTTTTCCGTGATTCTCCGTGAGCATCTGTAAATTGTCTCCCATAGTTATGTGGCTAATGTGAAGTTAGCAGAGAAATTTGAAGTTCACAGGAGCAGTACAATCCTCTGGAGGTACTAGAAATTCTCGAACTCATCTTTCTTGAATGCTTAAAAAAATATACTCTTACACATAACACAAGTAAAAATTGATAACAAAAGTAATTAATTATAGTTTTATGTAGCTGTAAGATTTCAGAGAACTCAAGGTATAAATCAATAAATCTATCACTATAAGAAGACAATAAATCTTATAAAAAAAGAATTATTGATTGTATTTAACCCACATAATATCAAGCTCGTTTGTCACATATGCATGTCACCAAAAAAATCCATTCAGAAAAACCTAAAGAACCGTAGCACCGAAAAAAAGAGAGAAACTTGTTTGCCTTCATTAGGATTTTACATGTAACACCAATTAATGACGACATACATGTCATCTAGAAGAACCGACAAGGTCAAACGTCTAATCGTAGATCTCCAAAACTAATCAAAAGAAAAAAAATGTAAAAAGAAAAAAAAATACATACAAATTACGTAAAAAAATTAAACAATAAATATCAAATACATAAGAAACAAAAATAAACATGAATTGTATTAAATTCCGATACAATAAACAATGAATGTCTTCAACAACCATTATAATTAATAATGTAATAAAAACTATCATTCATTCCAATCACCCTCCAATTATCACATCCGTAATTCGTCCTTTCAACTTTGTCATCTTGTTTGCACCTTCACAGTCTTTAGTGCAGGTCTTAGAAATATCATTTTTGGCCTGTGACAAATACTGTCCAAAGACGGTATTCATATGCCTTGGCAAGGACATGTTCACGATTCTCGTCCGCCCTACGGAAGTTAATGTCTTTACGGGAATGATTTCACCAAATAAAGTTGTGGAGAGCCATCATAGTAATCATAAACTAGACCTGCCTGGGAAACAAGTAAGATTATATATCTCGAAGTACAACCCATTTCTTCTTCTAAATACTAAAAATCCTGTCAATAATACCTCGTAAGGATAAATGTCTTTGTTGAACATTTCTTTCCTGCCCCGCGAGATTATTGGATCACTCAAAATTAGGTATGTGATATTTCATATCAGGATAGAGTTTGAGATATCATCGCTGCAATTGATACTCAACATCGACCAAATAATATTTACCTCATTACCTGATATGAATTGACTGGATAGTGCTTCAGGAATAGATTTAGGAGAGCAGCTTAGTCTTAAACAAATATTTGAGTGGATGTGAAAAGTTGTATTATTATTTCGTGTTGCAGACCAGACTGCCCTCACAACCGGCCATGACAAAAGTGAAACACATGTTGAAGTTGCATACCGTCATGACATTCTGCGTCGGGGACCCACAATGTTGATGAATGCATTTTTCTCATTATTTGGAACACATGCATCAACATGTGTTCCATTGATTGCTCCAATACAATTCTAGAAAAATAATGAAGAATTACGTAATTACGATATTTATATGAAAATTGAATGTAATAAATAGGATAAATTACCTTAAAGCATTATATATACTAGGCATCGTGCAAAATCTCTGTGGGGGTCCATTTAAATGTAGGATCTGTTGGCTTTATGACTTGTGAAAAAAATGACACGTGCATTCAACCCTCTTGAGAAGTATCTACAAATCGCTTCGGAAAAATGTTGAGATTGCTCCATAGCTCATCGCGTTGATTTATTCTGTGATAATATGTAGAGAGTTATCGTTAACATCTCTCGTGAAGTCGTTCTGGATGAGCTATGAAGTCCATGATTTCTATGTAATTTTTCAAATATATCGGTGAATACCGCCAGCATCATGCAGAATATATTGCGAAATCACATTGTGTGGCTCACAAACAACTCCTCAACCCATTTGTCGCCAACATATAAGAATGTCGTGCAAGGGGAGCGCTCTATGTATAAGTTATAATAATAGTACATCAAACATACTGGAGCTGCAACTCTCATTCTGAACATTTCTCTATTTACATCTATATATTTTGGTATCGAGGTGCTAACTCATATAAATCAATGAATGAGCTACAATCAAATAAGGTTACGAACAAAACTAATATAAGCGAATAAAATTACAAAAATAAATAAAAACATAACGAGAAATGAAAAGTTTTCAAGTGACATGTCCAAAGGAGCATAAATGCCCAAAGCAGCATGAAAAACCATAAACAAATAGAAATGTCCAAAGTAAATAAATAAATAACAAATATGAAATGTCCCACAATAATCTAATAAAAAAAGTGTCCCTCATGTGTCACTGATTCTATGAAAATAACATAGATAAGCCACCCTACGATCAACGAGCTTCATTATGAAAAACTCTCTTCGGGTTGAATATTCAAACAACTTCATAGAGAGTAAATGCAGTGGCATGTCCTCGTAAATTTCTGGAGTTGCATCCAAAATTCGCATAATCTGCTGGACAGTAGTTGTTTGTGATGGACCAGAGTCATTGGTGCATGAAACAACTGTGAAATCTGGCTTATGAGGAAAGCATATCTTTTTTTTTTAACTCGGGGACACTTTGACCGGCTCGCACTCAATTGCATAAAGGTCGGGGCTGGGGCCTTTATTGAAATCACCTGTTTGATCAGTTCTCGAATTTCTCGGACATGCCACCAAACCCCGCCTCACTGGAGGCACATGCATCGTTGCCCGTTGTCATGATACCTCCAAACACACGATCCAACTTTTCATTTAGTTCATGATTGATTCCACTCTATTTAAATTTTTTTGCGGCAGTCACTACCTGCAAATTTATATATGTTGGATTTGAAAATAAATTAAAAATTGACAAAAATAGGGGACATTGCAAAAATGCTCACCGCTAGTCTCTGCCCACCACCCCTCGTAAGCATCAATCGTTCGCTTTACCGGATCCCACCCCAAGCTCATTAATCTTCGTTTCAATTCATTCTAGATTTTCCAATCATTCTTTACCTAATTCCACTTGTTTTTTAACTGTATCTTATCATACTTTCTGTCTTTACTTTGCTTGAATTTTCTAATAATATTTTATTAGTTTTCTTTGTTGAAATAAGTTGTCGATCTATTTTCCAATTCGACCTCCTTGAGGCAAATGTTGCAAAATATTAATTTTGTTTTTTAATCTCACTTTGTAGATGAACCAGTCTTTTTTGTCTTAACTATTGTATTACCAACATAAAAAAATTAATTAACATAAATAGGATGTCACAATATTGCATTTCATAGAAAAATAGGAATACCACAATATCATCACCAATGCTCTCCACACCACACTACAACACCACTTACACATCACCACTGCCACGATCACACACAAACACCTATAAACACCAACACATTCACAACACTACCTCCACCGCCAACATTTCCACACAAACAAAACCACACACCAACCTCCACCTCCACAACACCATCACCTTTACACATCCACCAACACATTCTCTAACACAGACACAACCATACACCAACCACCACCTCCACACACAAACCAACGCACACCATCATCAAACATTAAAGGTAAAGATAAAACCCTCCCCATATTTTTCATTTAATGCAATTACATGCAGTGCACCCGAAACATTGTTATTGACAAATCAAGCACCCTCTTTCAGTCATTTCTCAAATTCTCACTCAAACATCAAAAGTAAAGATAAAACCCAAACCCCATATTTTTCATTCCCATATTTTTCATTCGAAGCTACTACATACAGGGCACCCGAAACATTGCTATCAACAAATTAAGCACTCTCTTTCAGCCATTTCTCAAATTCTCACTCAAACATCAAATGTAAATATAAAACCTCACCCCATATTCATTTGAGGCTACTACATACAAGACACCTAAACCATTTCTATCAATAAATCATGCATTTTCTTTCAGCCATTTCTCAAATTTTCATTCAAACATCAAATGTAAAGATAAAACAACACTATATTTTTCATTTGATGCTACTACATACAGGTCGCCCAAAACTTTGCCATCAACAAATCTAGCATCCTCTTTCAGTCATTTCTCAAATTCTCACTCAAACCTCAAAGGTATAGATAAAACCCCATCCCATATTTTTCATTTGATGCAATTACATACAGGGCACTCGAACCATTGTTATCAACAAATCAAGCACCCTCTTTCAATTATTTCTCAAATTCTCACCAAACATCAAAGATAAAAATAAAATCCCACCCATATTTTTCATTTGAGGCTACTATATACAGGACACTGAAACATTACTATTAATAAATCAAGCCTCTTTCAACAATTTCTCAAATTCTCACTCAAACGTCAAAGGTATGGATAAAACCTCATTTCATATCACATTTAGCCACAAATTTGTAAAATCCAATTTCTAAATCATAAAGAAAAAGCCACAAATCACAAAATCCAAATTCTTACTTCAAATTGTAAATGAGAATGCTAGAAATAGGAAAATCCAAAATTTTACTTCGAACCGCAAATGAGAAGCCACAAATCGCAATGAGAAAGTCATTCCATTAGAAATAAAATAGGTGATATCTTGGGAGGATGGAGAGCACAGTAAATAGAGGGAGATCCGGAGATTGGAGGGAACCTGTTTCTACCAGAAATTGGAGGGAAGAGGGAAAGGAGAAAGACAACCCATTCCCATAGGAGAGAGGTGCGAGAGAGGAGTGATCGAGAGAGGTGTTATTAGGGCAAAAGAAATGCGAGAGAGTGCGCGAGAGAGGGCAACGGTGAGAGAGGAGCGCGAGAGGGTAGTAGAGTAATAGGTGCGTGAAGAAATGTGGGCCGAACCCACGACTCGCGTATAACATAAATTTTTAAGAAACGCTGCTGCGTCGCTATTTCCAAACGCTTCATCCCATATTTTTAGAATGCACCACGCCAAATAAGCTGCCTCAAAAGGGCCCTCAATCAGTTTGTAAAATATATGCATGAAAATGGGACATTTGTTATGTGTTGAGCCCGAGTTATTTTGCGACTAATTGTGGGAGACTGAGTTAAGAATGCACCGAGATATACATATTATTAAATCATGCATTGTAAGTATGAGAGCACAAAAATCCCAATAGCGTCCTATGAGCTTTAACACAATGTTTCTTATTGATTGATGATTTATATTCTTCAAAGAGCATGGAATTGGAAATTTTGGCTTTTTTCATAAAATTGAAATTTTTAATTTTACAATGTGTACTACATGAAAATTTAGATTTTTTATGATATTTTACAAGTACTATGCTCTTTAGTTCCTGGGGTACAACATATGAGTTTGTTTTTCCTATGACATTTTTTCTCAAACATAATATTCACTATCTTTTTATTTAGAATGTAGTTTGAGTCCAGCCTTATGTCATCTTTATCAGTCGCTTAATTTGTGCTTATTTATCCATAATTGGCCTTTTGGTATGCTTTTATTTTGCAAAATATTTAGGATATGTTTATATAATTTGAAAAAAAGAAAATTCTTAGCAGATGCATTTGTGATTCAAGGAATTCTGTTTGATAAATAACTGAAAGGTATTATTCACTCTCATGAAGTCTACAATCGAGAAGTTAAAGTTGGAAATTATCTTTACCCCACTAAAGATTCCAATGGAAAATTGCTAGTTTATTTCATTGTTATTTCAACTGTGGCAAGCCATCCGTCTTTTTTGGCTGCTATACAATCCAGATTTATCAAATTTTCTCATCTTTTACATTTTGCTCCCTTTTAGTGGTTGTAGAAATATATATTTTTGATTGCATATGTGATCTAAATTTATTTCCACACTTGTTTTCTTGCAAATAGTTTTAGCTATCTATACAAGTTTGTATGTCTTTTTTATTCTCTATATGTAACTATTTCTTGTATATACACTTTTATCTTTATTTCTTGTAGATAGTTTTCAATCTAGGTCTTCTTACGATGAAAGAGATTTATGAAACATGATGATGCTTGAGTGAATTAAACGTAAGAGATTGAAGCAAGGACTATGGAGCTAAAACATTCATGAACGTGGATTATCACAAATAAATTTTTTCTTTTTAACTCTCACAGTAAATTGTTTCACTATTAATGGAGACCATAAACTACACATGCAAGAACAAAAATTTCATGCTATTGCTTCATTCACAATCTATATTCTCCTTGTCTTTAACCAGTTTTCTAATGGAGCCATCCCTATGTTTTTTTTTTACTTTCATCCTAGCTTTTGCCGCCATCCTATTATTTATTTCAGAGTTTACTCTCCTTTGAATTCCTTCCTAAAGTACTTGATTGATTTTAAATTAATGACAATGAATAATCATGTACGAATACACATTTTAGTTTGATAATACAAGACTATCATGCTTGCAGTTTTGCACTTCAAACATATTTGAACTTTTCTTTGCAAGCTAATGATTATTTTAAATTCATTATGAATTGATTCATCCTTTTATAGGCATCTAACCGGTGCTTGGGATCTTTTTCCAAAACATTTACTATTGAAATGACAACTATATTATTTTACTTTTCATAAATCATATTTTCGTGATTTCTAAGCAGGATACCTTCTCCTTCCTGGTTTGAATGTGACTTGATTTACATAAAATTTGTGTGATTATAATTTAATCATTCTCTTATTGAATTAGAACGTGAAGTATGCATCCCTTAATTAACTTCCAATTTTTTTTGGCTTAAATTCCAGTTACCCAAACCTAAACCTCCTACAAAATGGGAATTGTTTGCCAAGATGAAAGGTTAGTTTTGCTGTTATGTCATTACCTTCTGCAATGTGAAATGATCAATTGATTAATCTATGTAGTTGTTTGGCCATTTAATTATGGCTGTTCGCCATACGGTTTATGCTACTCTGCAGGAATTAAGAAACATAAAAAGGACAAGCGTGTTTATGATGAACAAACTGGTACATGGAAGCGTCGTTATGGCTATGATCGAGTGAATGATGATAGAGATGTACCAATTTTTGAAGCCAAAATGACCGATGGTAAACATTATTTTTTAAAACTTTTTCATAACATTATTTCTTCATAATATTTTCTTACCCTTTCCAAGTTCTTGACCAACAATAAAGGGCCATTTAATAACTAATTTTGATTATGAGGTTATGCCATGATTAGGATTGAGAATTTAGCTCATAGATTATCAATCACTAAAAAATTGATTCAAATTTTGACTTGGATTGAGATCGGATCCAGAAAAAACGAGCCAAGCTACAAGCCTAAATCATGGATCAAATTTTTTTTAAGCCCATTTCTAGCCATACATGGATCAGCTTGAAGATTTTTTTTAATAAAAAATTCTATGTGTGTGTAATAGAAATGTTTAATAGAATTTTAGAATGCACGAGTGGTAATTCATTCATTTTAAGCTGGCTCAATCAAAACGAGCAAGTTTGTTTTGATTTTTAAGCTGAGTAAATCGGAATAGCTCAATTTGAGCTAGCAGCTCATTTCAATTTCCATCCAGATTGAGCTTGATTCAACTTGAGCCAAGCTGGCTCAAAATAAAATATAATCAGCCATGAGCTAATGTCGAGCTGCATCCAACCCATTTGAGCTGATTTCAAGCCCATTGGGCTAGGCTCGAAATCAGATCTTTCAGAACTCTAGCTATGGTAGGTTTTACAATTGTATACATAAAAGTTTTATTTTAGATATTACTCTGCTCAAGAGTTATATATCACTACCATCTCTATCACTTTTTTGGAATAACATAGCTGGTATTTCGATTGCATTTGGCATGCATATACATTTTGATGCCCTCATTTATTGGTTAACATCCTTACTGGCACATCTAGTGCTGAGTGGCATGAATGACACACCGTTACATTTTGAATCGTAGCTTTACCTTTATCTAAATTTGCTTTTTTATTTTTCCTAGATGGTTTTTCTTGTTAACCCATGCTTAACAGTTTGAAATAATTCTATGTCTCAAAATATTATTTTCCATATATAATTATAAATTAATGTTAATTAGCTATTGAATCTTCTGAAATGAACTTGCAAATAATCCTCATCATCATTCATGGAGCCACTCTAACCATGCGTACCTTTTTGTTACTCTGTTTTTTTCTCATTTATTCATATTGAATGCTAAATTAGTTGTTTAACTCTTGTTTAGGTAATTATTTTTTTTCCATAATTGTAGTTCCTACCTCTTTCCTACTCCTATGAAACACAAACTTAAACGCATGACATAAATAGCCACAAAATGTTCGATGCATTTGTCCACTGTCATAGTATTTTCTTTTCTAAATGTTTAACATAAAATATTTAATTAAAATAATATTAGTATTTCTACTAAAGGCATTACACAATGAAGCATACTATCTTATACTTTACATAAAGTTTAACAATTCTAATTAAAATAAAAAAAAAGATTAATAACAAAAGCAATGACATGCACCATTAACTTTAGACATTACATATTAGCCATTAGAGCCAATAAATGAAGAAAATATTGTTAATAAGATCAGATGTTTTACAATATAGTGATTTATAGTGTGATTGTAAAAGAACATATAAAACCAACAAAAAAATTATGGTTGGAGGTGTAAAAGCCAAATGTTTAGAGCCATTAATACATTAGCCATCAGAGGCGAGAACTAAAGCAAATATTGTTAATAACATGTGATGCTTAACACTATAGTAATTTATAGTTTGATATGAAAATAACATAAAAAGTCAAGAAAAAAATTGTGATTGGAAGAGTAAGGCTAAATGCTAAGAGCCATATGCATTAGCCATAATACTTGAGTATGGAGGAGTTGAAAGATTTGAATCCTAGGGCTATAAGTAGGAATTGAGTGGCTCTAGAGTTGTAATGACTGTAGGATATATAATAAAGAATGCCATGGTTGTGAGGCTGCAGAGATGTACAAGGAAATGCAAAAATGTTAGATTACTCTGCTTCAAAATGTTGGATAGGCGTGAAACTGCCACAAAGAAACATATATGAAAGGGCTTTGAGACATTCACGTGAAGAGTCTTGAGGAAGAGGAGCTTGCACTGCAAAAATGATGCTTGTTCAAGACGATCAACATTCAAACCTACAACACAAAGTTGATTGGTGAAGAGGATTGACTCTAAGACGCTCGTGTGAAGAAGTTTCCATGGCTTGGAAAAGGTGTATGAGACGAGTGTGAGTGATTTTAATAGGAGAATTCAAGCTAGATTTTAATTAAAAAAAATCCTAAAACATGTACTGCAACTATGCAAGTGCCCCTTTTTTGTCTGTTCATGTTCAACCCTAACTTGGGCTCGAAACACTTTTGATATAAATTTCGAGCTTATCTGACATGTGTTAGTGCTGAGCATGTTCATGTTTGACACCATTTTTTTGAAGTGTTCATGCTCCATAGATGCATGCCTTTCATTTTTGATTTGTTAACATTTGTTCTATTGGATCCACCTTTTCTACATGCTCTTTTTATCCTAGTATATTTTTAATACCTTATCTTTAATGACTGTTAATATGTTGTCCCTTAATTTTTGCTATTACTAATTCTATCATTCTAGAGAATTCTTATTGTACCGTTTTAGGGTCCCAAGAAGGTGTGATGGCACACCAATAAGTGTTAGGGAAGTTGTAGAAGGGGTGGCGAGAGTGGGAGGATTTAGAGCGGCAAAAGATAAGCATGCACAGGGCGGAACAGCGAATCAGAGGCAGCTAAGTTGCGAATTTCTGCTGTAACCAGCAATTGAAAGCACATTTGAAGGCTGTGTGACAGAAATCAGCGAGCAAATGGCAAATCGGTGAGGTAAGGATGTGGAGGGGGATCCACCACCCGTTCCTAGGCAAGCTGCAGACACACCAGTTACCAAAAAAAAAAGTGGTTGCAGCACTCAGGAGAGCTAAGATTCAGAGAAAAATTCCTCAATTTAAAAAAAATCAACAAATACTGAAATCCCAAACTTCCTACTACAACATATATAAAAGTGCCCTCATAGCAAATACCTAATTAGCAACTAGAGAAATAGGTAAGAACAAAATAAGGAAGAAACAAGGGAAGGAAACTTGCTGGAAAATAAATGAAAGAAAATAAAAATAAAACAAAAATAAACATTGGCCGGTCCTGGACTCCAGCGAAGTCTCGGTGCTGGATGCTGCTATAACGGGAGCCGAGGATTCTGCCATAACGCAAAGGTTTTACAATCGGAATCACTGTACCTGCGGTAATAATGCTCTACGTCATCTTAATTGTGCCACACCAATTTGGTTTTCATTCATTTTTTTTAGCTTAGCATTCTTCCTCCATTTCTATTTTTAATAAATCCATAATATACATAATTCAGGTCATTTTACCTGCTAATTAATGTCTTTCTTAAATCTCATTTAGTATTGTCTTAGAATATCATTCTTTTATAAGTTCTTATATATATTTTTTTAAATTAAGATTTTGTTAAACCTTCTACCGACGTTTTAGGTATGAAATTATTACATCTATAAACTACAAAGAACTTACTTATGTTTGTGATGTCTTTATAAGTTCTTGGCAGCACATCTATGATGAAAGTTGAAACACAAACTTAATATAAAGATTTGATACTGAAGAATGATGTTGAATCTTTAACAATTGATCATCATACAGGGTCATCTACTTTTCCTTCAAAGCAACAATGATCTCTATAAACGCTGAAAACTTAGGTTAAATTCTAGCCTTGTCTTCATTTATTGTAGAAAACTACAATTCAAGCTTATGCACAACCTCAATTATTTGCATAATGTTGGGATGATCATCATTTTATTTGATAACTAATTTGTGGAGTCTGTATCATTACAATAATAATTTTCATAGATTCACTCATAGTAGTGATAAAAAATAAAAAAAAAAATTTGACACAAGTATTAAAGCTTCAGGAATTTATGTTGAATTTGGAGTCTGAAAAATTAGTTTATATGATGATTTATTGCCATCATAATGTGGCTTTGGTGACTAAAATCTATACTAATGATGATTATTATAGTCTACGTAACGAACTGAATCATCATATGAATAATGATAGTATTTTGATGTATTAATATTGGTTTGCCATGATGGAAATTTATATGATCAATGATTAATGATGGTTAGAATGACAGCCTCAATTATTATTATAGCTGTGCCATTATTGGATGGTCCATACTCATATGAATGCTATTTCTTAGATTTCCTATACTTGTAAAATTTTTTGTACTCATGATAATTTCTGCCACCTTGGTTTCAAATTGAGTAAGGGGCTTTGATACTTAAATGAGTTTGGAAATGCCAATGGCCAATATATCTCCCAAATCTACTCTTAAGGCGACAATGTGTTTCCTAAGCATAATCATTGCATTCATCACAGGACATGCATTCATGTAATGATCCCTTGAGAAACATGAAATCTAGAAAGCTTGAGCTTAAGGTTCTATAATTGATACCAATTTGTTTTATTTAATGCAAATCAATTGATGCAAAATCTACAAAGAAATCACTTTCTAAGGAATTAAAAGGTGTCACTCAAAATTTGAAGTTAAAGATGTTTGCGCGGGTTTACACTTTATTTGGTGGTAACTGGTGGACAATGGCACGGTTCCGACAGAAGTAACAAGCAAGCAAGTTATCCCACAAGCTTGTGTGACTTTATTTGAGGATGTAAGAAGATGATCCCACTATAGTGAGCATATAGTCATAAGTAGTGGTACAAGGTTATAATTAGAGCAGAGAGTTCAGAAAGTGCATAGGAGTTAGTTAAGGTAGATTAGCTTGTAGGAGTTAGCAAGTGTGTGCAACATATCAGAAGGGATGTGTGATTATGGTGCTGCGGTGGTTTTGGTAAAAGGGTGAAGTTTTGAGTGTCATGATGATGTGCGGGAAAGTGTAAAGTAGTTGATGCACTAATGGGGGTTTGGGACCACTTCTCCAATGAGATTGGAAGGTGCAGGAGCAAGAGGATAGTATGGAGTAGTTAGCTGTTAGATTGAGCCGGGGCAAGGATGCTAATGCATGATGTGGCTAGCATG